TAGTAGAGACGGGGTTTCACCATGTTGACCAGGATGGTCTTGATCTCTTGACCTTGTGATCCACCCGCCTCGGCCTCCCAAAGTGCTGGGATTACAGGCTTGAGCCACCGCGCCCGGCCCTGCCTCACTTCTAAATTAAGAGACTGGAGAATAGAATGCCTGCATTTTGGATTTGTCTTGTTATTTTCTTACATTGTCATTTAACTTGCTCTTGTTTCTTGAATTTACTGTAAACTGGAAGTTAGGTCTAGAGACTTGATGAAATTTCAGAGTAAGCATTTTCTTTTTCTTTTTCTTTCTTTTTTTGTTTTGAGATAGTTTTGTTCTTGTTGCCCAGGGTGGAGTGCAATGGCACAGTCATGGGTCACTGCAACTTCTGCCTCCCGGGTTCAAGTGTTCTCCTGCCTCAGCCTCCCAAGTAGCTGGGATGATAGGAATGCACCATCACACCTGGCTAATTTTTGTATTTTTAGTAGAGATGGGGTTTCACCATGTTGGTCAGCCTGATCTTGAACTCCTGACTTCAGGCGATCCACCCATCTTGGCCTCCCGAAGTGCTTGGATTACATTTATGAGCCACTGCACCCGGCCAGGGTAAGCATTTTTGACCCAAACTTTCCAGAAGGCCAGGAGGTCAGGCAGCTCCTTGTTGGCCATTGTTAAAGAAACATTCTGGATGTGTGGAGGCGGGACACTCAGCTGTGCTGCACCCTCCTTCTGAGCCCCTTGATCTGTGTCCGTCTTGGCAGCATCCCTTCCTCAAAAGCCTGTGGGCCGTTCACCAACTTCAACACCACCTGGGAGGTCATCCCCAAGACGGTGAGCACCTTCCCCAGCTCACTGCAGTCCTTCATCCATGGCGTCACGTCAGAAGCCTTTGCGGTTCCTTTCTTCATGATTATCTGGTGAGTGAGAACCACCAGGACCCACTGAAGTAGGTGGGCTTCTCCCATTGGGAAAAGGGGTGGGGGGGTTCACCCTAGACTTGTCAAGTTGCTGAGCTGCTTTGAGCTGCACTTTCCCATCTCTAAAATGGGCATAATAGGCTGGGCATGGCGGATCATGTCTGTAATCCCAATACTTTGGAAGGATGAGGTGGGGAGATCGATTGAGGCCAGGAGTTCAAAACCAGCCTGGGCAACATAGGGAGATCCTGACTCTACCAAAAAAAAAGAAATAAAAACCAAAAATTAGCTTGGCATGGTGATTGCATGCCTATAATCCCAGCTACTCAGGTAGCTGAGGCATGAGAATTGCTTGAATCTGGGAGGCTGAGGTTGCACTAAGCCAAGATCGTGCCACTGCATTCCAGTCTGGGTGACAGAATGAGATCCTGTCTCATAAATAAATAAATAAATTAAGTAAGTAAATAAAATGGGCATAATAATAGTCATTCTTTCAGAGGCTCATTGGGCAAATTAAGAAAGATCACACTTAGCCCAATGCCTGGCTTATAAAAAGCCAATATATATTGCCTGTTATTAACATTACTATTTACAGAATCTCTTTCTCTTTGAAAAGGAACAGATTTCTGAGCAGAGAGATGCACACCAGATTAGAAGCATGCCCTTGAATGCTGGCTCTACTTATAAGCCACGAATAACTGGAATTAATTGTACCCTGCATGTACTATCATGAAATAATCACAATTACTCTGTGATGTAGATATTCTTACGGTAAAACATCACCATAATACAAAAAGTAGGCCCAAAGAAATATGTACTTGTAAGAAGGCAGAATACTGCTGGGCATGGTGGCTCATGCCCGTAATGCCAGCATTTTGGGAGGCTGAGGCGGACGGATCATCTGAGGTCAGGAGCTCAAGACCAACCTGACCAACATGGAGAATCCCCGTCTCTACTAAAAACAGGTGTGGTGGCGCATGCCTTTAATCCTAGCTACTTGGGAGGCTGAGGCAGAATTGCTTGAACCCAAGAGGCGGAGGCTGCAGTGAGCCGAGATCGCACCATTGCACTCCAGCCTGGGCAACAAGAGTGAAACTCCATTTCA